AAACCTGGTACATAATTCTACCCGTAAATTAATCAATCAAACTAAGCAATTAAATTCACGAGGGTTTGCACCCGAGCTCATGGCGCGTGGCGGCGCTGCTGCGCGAAGCAGAGGTCGGGCGATCGGACTTGTGGCAGGAATCACGCCGATATTTAGGAAGTATATCTAATATGTATATATATATATATACATATACATATATACATATATACATATATACATATATACATATATACATATATACATATATACATATATACATATATACATATATACATATATACATATATACATATATACATATATACATATATACATATATACATATATACACTATACATATATACATATATACATATATACATATATACATATATACATATATACATATATACATATATACATATATACATATATACATATATACATATATATATATATATATGTATGTGGATACACTGTTACGGGTTTCTCTGAGTGCTACCTGCTTCTGGAGCTTACTGAGGGAGAATTCAGGGTGGGTTGATCTCCCCGGAGTGCAGTCGGTTTGTTCTGAAAGTATTCACATATTTGAACTCGTATGAGTGTTGCCAATTAGACTTGGTCGTCGACTGCAACAATAGCAACAACGACCACGTCTGCGACTACTTCCTCGCTACTGCTACTGCTACTACTACTACTACTACTGCTACTACTACTACTACTGCTACTACTGCTGCTGCTACTACTTCTTCTACTACTACTACTACTACGACTACTACTACTACTACTACTACTACTACTACTGCTACTGCTACTACTACTACTGCTGCTACTACTGCTACTGCTACTACTACTACTACTACTACAACTACAACAACAACTACTACTACTACTACTACTACTACTACTACTACTACTACTACTACTACTACTACTAACTTGTAATACTACTACTACCACTACTATAGTACGACTACCACTACTACTACTACTACTACTACTACTACTACTACTACTACTACTACTAGCCACCCCCCCCTACCAACTACACTTGTTCCATCCGGGCCGGGCAGCGGCAGCTGCTAGGGGCCTTAACTGCGACAGTTGCAGAAGATGCACGGGCTCAAGCTCCCTCTCTGCGACAGCTGCAGAAGTTGCAGGGGCTCCGTTTCCTTAACTGTCACAACCGGTGAAGTTGCAAGGGCTCAGGCCCCAAAACTGCGACAGCAGCCGGAGTTGCAAGCTCGACGGGGAAGAAACAGCTAAACCGCAGGTGGTCGGATAATACGAAAACGCTGTAAATACCGTGCAAAACCCAGGTGCTGCCAAGAAGGGTTTAACATTTTCAGAACCTGAAGCGCAACATCTTCTAAACATCAAAAACAAAGATGCCAGCTGTACGTGGGAGGGGTTCGCCAACACCCCTACCGCCCAACCTCTGCGTAGGAGGGTCTGTTTTTGAAGTGGTGTGTGTGGTGTGTGCACGCTTGAGTGTGGAAATATTGTTCAGGGTGTCCGCAAAACAGTGTCGTGATCATCCCCGAAGAAGCTTTCCCCCACCCAAGTTCGAGTTTTTTTGCAAACAGTTCCAAACAGCAAAGTTTAATACGCATAGTCGAGAAGTAGGGGCTCAGAACTTGTAACAAAGTCTGACATCACGAAAGTACCGTAAATACCGAGTTAAACGGCTCTTGTGGTGATACTGCTGGGTGTGTTCGCGTAACACTGTCGTCATCATCCCCCCCCCCACCCCCCACCCACCCCCAGAAGCAAGTCCAAAATCAAGAGCCCGAGTTTGCAAACTCGACAAGTCGATTTTTGGGCCTCTTAGGATGATCGCACATGACGAAAGTGCCGTAAATACCGAGTAAAATGGATGTTGTCTTAACATGGTTGAGAGCAAGTGTAGTTGGTAGGGGGGGGTGCCTAGTACTACTACTACTACTACTACTACTACTACTACTACTACTACTACTACTACCACCCCTATAGCACTACTACTTTACTACTGCTACTCCTACTCCTACTGCTGGTGCCACTGCTTCTGCTGCAACTACTACTGCTGCTGCTGCTACTAGTAGTAGTAGTCGTCGTAGTAGTAGTAGTAGTACTACTACTACTACTACTACTGCCAATACTACTAGTACTCCAACCGCTGTTAGTCGCGGCAGCTACGGACAACCTCCGTCTCTGGCTGCTGCCACTGCCACCTCGCCACGACGACGACTGTTATGACTGTTGCTGCTGCGACGGCTTCTGCTCTTGCGACTTCTTCTACTGCTGCTCCTGCTTCTGCTGCTGCTACTGCGACTGCTGCCACTATAACCAACGACTAAACTACATACAAGTACTACGGCAACCAGTCCCACTACTTGTAGCTTCTTTTTTTGGACCATTCCTGGCGTGGAACAGTCCTGATCCTGGTATTGATTGAGGAGTTGAGGTCTGGGCACTGGTTCACGGGGGTCTGGGCATTGGTTTACTAGCATGAGAGTGCAAAGGTGCTTTTGGTTTCAATCCTCCTAGCCTGGAGGAGGCCTGGGTTGAAATCCGAGGTTGCTGTTTATGCGAGGGTTGCCGGCGGCGCCCAAACCAAGAGTAGCAAAGTCCGACACCACATCGTGAGGAAATGGTGCCCTCGGATGAGTCGGCCAATGCTGCCGAGAGTCCAGGGGCAGAGGAGCCGGGTTGAATACGTGAATGGTTGCTGTAAATGCAACGATTCGGGATACACTGCTAATGGCAGTTTGGTACTTCGGGGCGTGGCCGTTTGTTTGTTTGTTTGTTTGTTTTTTTACACTTTTCGGTCAGTGTTTCGTTTAGACGTCCATTTTTGGCTTGTCGAGAAGTTACTCGTGCTACCATTACTGCTAGTTCTGGTGCTCCTGCCAGTTGCGGTAGTGGTGGTAGTAGTAGTCATAGTCGTAGTAGTAGTAGTCGTCGTCGTCGTAGTAGTAGTAGTAGTAGTAGTCCTGCTACTGCTACTGCTACTGCTACTGCTACTACTACTACTAGTACTAGTACTAGTACTAGTACTAGTAGTAGTATTAGTACTAGTACTAGTACTGGTACTGCTGGTACTGGTACTGGTACTGGTACTAGTACTAGTACTAGTACTCGTACTAGTACTCGTACTAGTACCGGTACTAGTACTAGTACCAGTACCAGTACAGGTACTAGGTACTAGGTACTAGGTACTAGGTACTAGGTACTAGGTCTAGGTCTAGGTCTAGGTCTAGGACTAGGACTAGGACTAGGACTAGGACTAGGACTAGGACTAGGACTAGGACTAGGACTAGGACTAGGACTAGGACTAGGACTAGGACTAGGACTAGTACTAGTAGAGCTACTGCTATTGCTACTGAGTGGTGGTAGTGCTTCTGCTGCTGCTACTGCTACTGCTAGGGCTTCTGCTACGGCTGCGGCTACTGCTACTGCCTCTGCTACAACGACTATTGCGACTACTACGACTAGTACGACTACTACGACAACTACACTTCTGCTACGACTGCGACGACGGCTACTAGGGCCACCGCGACAGCAACAACAACTACTACTATTACTATTACTATGGCTATTACGGTTACTTTTACTGGTACTATTACTGTTACCTATTTCCGCGTACGTATTACCTATTACCTATTACCTATTACCTATTACCTAGTACCTAGTACCTAGTACCTAGTACCTATTACCTATTACCTATTACCTATTACCTATTACCTATTACCTATTACCTATTACCTATTACCTATACCTATTACTATCACTATTACTGTTACTGTTACTACTACTATTACTATTGCTATTACTATTACTACGACTGCGACAAGCGCTGGGTTCTTACTTCCACGGCGCCTCCTACTGCTACTCCTATTTCTACTGCAACTGCTACCGCTACTGCTGCCGCTGATGCCCTGTTCGTAGCATGTCGTAGCCATCTCCCGCTGCTCACAGGAGTGTGAGGTGGACTTGCCTGCTGTGCAGGTCGACCGGGATGTGGGCTTCAATGTGAGTTTACAGTCTTTTTAGATATGAATGTTTAACATGGTCAAGAGACAGCCGTAGTAGTCTGCGCACAGTACGTTCAGCTAGTACGAAACAGGGCATCGAATTGGATAGCAAAGAGTGCAACTGCCTGAACATCGGTTGTCACCAAACAAGTCCACTTCCTGTTGCTGAAAGGTCTGCGTGCGCGTCCGGCCTTTGCTTGAAGAGGCCGGATTTTTTCAACCTCAGTGACTCTCTTCTGATTCTTCGGGAAATCCCTCAAAGCTTGGCTTTCTGCTGTGAGGAGCTTCGTGCTGGAGGCTCTGTGGAAGCTTTGCGCACGGCGTCAGGGAAGGCGCGCGGGGTCGTACCAGCTTGCGAGGAATGTGAGCTTTGCTGCTCCTGGACCGTTCTGAGTTTCTTCAAGAGCTACCTCGTCCTCGGATGCCGCTCAGGTGACGCTGGCACTATCGGAGGGCAACGAGGCCCTGCCGATTCGGAGTCAAGTAGGAATCGAAGCTGGAACTAGTTCAATCGGCTTCTCAATGTGTTCCTTTCGATCTCTCACTCTGCTTTCTCGAGTAAAAGAGCAAGTCGTAAGAACATGGCAGCGGCATCGTCACGACAGTGACATTCTGCTCTAGGTTTCAGGTATGGTTAATACAAGCGGAAGAGCCCAGCCAAATGTTCTTCTGGCCGGGGTACTCTTCGCCCATGAAAATATACAATACATTCCGATAAGCCTACTTGTGTCTGGCTGTGATGATGGCAGCAGCAGTAGCAGCAGCAGTAACGGTGGCAGTAGCAGCGGCACTGGCACGGGCACGAGCACGGGCATGCTAAGAGCATGAAAATGCCAATTATGTAAATTGTCAGGTGAGTGCACATGCACGGTACGGACACATGCACGTATTCCAACAGCAGCTTCGTTCGCTAGATGCACCTGGGTCTGGGGTTCTGCATCAGGAAAACATCGCAGACCGAGATTGCCGCCGTGTGCGCAAGCCGCAAGAATTTGCGTTCAGCCTCTCGGATGAATCACATAGGCTGGCCTTCATATTTAATGCTCTGTTTTTCCCCTTATTGGGTGCTCCCCCAGGCCTCTCTCCTGCACAGCCGAATCCTTTCACGTTGCCGTGCCGTATCCACGTCCTTGTTCGGGGAGGTTAACTGTTCCCTTTCGAGGAGCGAAGCAGTGCTTGCATATGTGGAACATTCCTCTCTATTAGGGTTGAGGGGTCGCCCCCGGCCATGTCGGCACATGCTATGGTTTCGGGCGCTATGCGAATGGTTTTTCTTTTCATGCTCCCCATGCTGCACACCTGGCTTCTCCTTATGCGAACCTGGCTCTTCCTTATGCTCACCGAATCCTCACCCACCCACCGGGAGTTTCAGGTTCGCATAACGAAAAGCTAGGTTCGGCGAAAGGAAAAGCCAGATTCGCATAGAGGGACAAAGCATCACAGAAGAAAACAAGCATTCCCTATTCCATGCAAGTTTCGCAGGCTCACCACCTGTTTTCGCATGTTAGGCTTTGGAAGTCGGTCTAAACGAAGGTTCTATATGTGACAATTGCGCGGTGCGAGAGCTGTGAGTTAGGGCAGGTGCCACTTAATCATAGTTCGTCTCCATGGCAGCCAGCGAGACGCGAACCAGGCTTCTTGTCATGCGTTGATTCAGTTTCGCAGAAAGCTCACCGAAACACAACCAGTTTTATAGAGCGCAAGACGTACCGCAACAGTGCGAGGTCGTTCAGCTGGAAGACTATTGAAAATTGAAGAAATTCCGGAGCCAAGCTTAGCATGTAGCAATGTCAAGCAACCAAGGGGACAGGCTTGTCCTTCAAAAAACTCCCAGCTTAGCCAAACTGAGGTTCTGTCTTTGGGCCCGAGAGCAGCTGATCGGAATTCATCTTTCTTTCGGTAGTCGGGGAGGAAGGTGTTTATAGGTCCAAGCCTTTGTTGAACGCTATCTTCGCAGCTGGCACTATCTGTTCTGCCTCCCGGTTCGCATGTGGCCATGGATTGGTGAAACGTGAGCCTGTTACTTGGCAGCGAGTAGGTCCTGCTTTGCGCTTCTCGAGCGCTAGGCCAGGCCACACATGCAGAAAACCAGCAGGATTGCAGCCCCAGTGGCTCGGACGTTGACACATGCCCCAAGTGACGACGACTAAGGCAGTCAAGAAGACGTGTACGAGGGCCTGAAGTTGGATGCCTTGATGCAAAAGGCAGGTCTATCAAGTACCTATCCTAAAGAAACATCTTCCTTGTAGGAAGTCGAAGAGCCGGAACGAATGAGTACTATCCCTGTAATTGAGCCTGCCGTTTGGGGTAGCGTTGTTCTGTGAAGGTAGCGGCCGGCTACCATGCTACTGTCTTCGCATACGGCCAGACAGGACCCCGATGCTGGAAAGCCGTGGGAGTGTTGGGAAGAAGAGAAGAGACGAGAAACAGAGACAAGCATAATTGAAAGGGAGCGGGGCACACATGAGGGCGACATTTTCACTCGCGTCCCTGCTCAAGCGAACCCGAAGCCGTCCTTCTGAAATCGGGCCCCTAGAGTCAGAGAGGACACTGAGCTCGGATGCCGCGCACATCGCAGGATTAGTCGTAGCAGCGCAGCAAGGAGGAGTCGTCGTAGTTGTTATAAGCAGACATCTTTGCCGCAGTAGTATCATTCGACCGCAGTAGTATCATTCGACGAAGAAGACTTCAGAAGACAATCAAGGCGTGACGTTGCGGGAACTGTATTGTATTCACCACAACAAGGAGTTTAGCACCTCTCTGCTGCCAGCAATATTTAACATTTCTCGCAATGTACAAGGGTATTTTAGACTGATCTCAGAGCAGCAAGAATTGCCCCCTTAGTTACATATAGCATGAGCAGTAAGAGCATCCTCCAGCTACAAAAAGACTGGGCACGAGGCCAATAACGATACCAGCGATATCCAGCAATCGTAGTCCTGGGAGGATCCGGCAAGACGTATACTATGGAGGGCTTCCGCTACAGACCGGATGCGAAGGCTGCGGAAGCCGGCAAGCCCCAGGCAGAAGGGTCTCTGGCTTCAGGGGTTGGAGTCGAGGGCCTAAGATTCAGAGCATATGGTTGTGCTAACCGCAGGTGCTGGTCAGAGTTCGCGACCGTTCCTCGCTTCAGCTCACGTTCTAAAAGTCTATGTCGCACTGCATTTCATCCTTGCCTGTCTGATTGTTTTGATCGTAGTGGTGGTAGTAGTAGTAGTAGTAGGAGTAGGTGAGGCAGTAGCAGTGGCAGTAGCTGTAGCAGCAGTAGCAGGAGAAGTGGGAGTGGCATTGAGTAGCAGTAGTAGTAGTCGTGGTGGTGGTGGTGGTCGTGGTCGAGGCCATGGTAGCGGTAGTGATAGCGTCTAGCAATGGCAGTGGTGCTCGGGTTTCTGTGTCTTCGAATTCAGCACGAGGTCTGCGTCCACACCACCACCCCCGAGCGATTGGGAGTGCCGCTTGTGCGAACAGTGGGGATGCCACGGAGAAGCAGCACGAACTGTTGCAG